CGAAGTGGATGGAGTTTATGGAAACATTTTCATATACCATGAAATATAAGCGAGTAAGGATAATTTGGTAGCTGATGCATTATCTAAAAGGTACAATCTCTTCTCTTCAGTACTCTTAGTGCAAAAATTGAGTATATTAAAGAATTATATAGAGATGATCAAGACTTTAATTAATAAATTTATATTCATTAACTATATATCACTCAACTATAGACTTAGAGTTGCACTCGTATGCATTGTAGGACAAGTTGTGTTCATTGATAAAGAATTTTCATTCATTAACTATAGATCACTCCACTATAGACTTAGAGTTGCACTCGTATGCATTGTAGAACAAGTTGTGTTCATTGATATAGACATTATTAGAAAATCGATTGTCACAACTCAATTTCTATCTCGAGTCACAATTATTAGATCAAGTTTTTTTTTTTTTGTTTTTTTTTCATCTAAAACAAAACATAAATTTATTTTATTTAAAGTTTGAATACGTTCAGCCTCGTAAAACAAAACAACTTAAAATTTTAAACATCCATAATCGATCAGTTCCTTGCTACCTAAAAAACATGAGAGAACTTGAATGATTACAAAGACTCAGTGAGTAATCTACTTGTAGGCTTTTAATCGTATCCTTGAGGTGTGCTAGAGATCTGTTCTCCCATTTGAACGAGAATGAGGACAACCGAGAAGGTTTGATCTCTCTTTCCCTTTAATTTCCTTTCTTTTGTTAATACTTATTCCGGAAAGAGCAAGAATTTAATTTAACCGGGATATGAAGTATCCATTACAAACCAGTTTATGAACTAGAAACCTTACGAGTTCTGAGGCTTTACACAACCTCAATTTTCTAACATCAACACATTTTATCAACATATTTTCTGGATTCTTTGCACTTTTTATCTTCTCCAAATATATCACCATCTTCTACTAATCTGTGAGTGAAGTAGTATCGTCTTTTTATTTGTTTTGTCTTTGATAGACCGGGTTCTTTACCAACTATATGGAACTCCACCTATCTGCATGAAGAATCTTCTCACTTCTTGTCTAATTCTTTTAGATAATTTGTTATTCATATCATCTTTTTTCCCATTTCAGCTATCGCTACATACTTAGCCTCAGTAGATGATGGAGCAACACAATTCTGAATCCTACACATCAACTCGAATTTGCGAATACTTTTGCTAAGAACTACATCTCGAATTTCAGCAAACTTCAGTTTCTCAAGTCCTTAGGAATTGTTGATCACGACAACAAAAGTATGAAAGTTATGAGGTGATTTAAAAGTATTGAATCACAGTTTGGATGAGACATTACGATCATGGTCAAAGTTTTATAGATATTAATGGAGATGAATTATAATTTAAAATTTTTAAGATGTTCGAAGTAAAACTAGAGTCGCTATTGTATGCATGACATAATCTTTTTATGCTGAATTGTTCAAAGATAATTTCATAAATACGATGTCATGGACTTATAGCGTTTGCCTAAGAATCTTATAATAAAACAATGAAAAATGTTCCATGCAAAATAAAGTAAAGCCAAAGAAAAGATTTAAAATGATGCCTTAAACTAACCTAAGATCAACAAAGTAAAAATGCAATTATTCTAATACAAGTTCTATGGTCTTCACCGCATCACCACCGTCAATTGTACAGAAGTGTCTTGCTTTTACTTGAAATATAAAAGAGTACAAGATTGAGTATTTTAAGAAATATTCATAAGCGACCATACTATTAGGGTCAGAGAAAACAAACACATGTAACATGAATGGGACCTATCATTTAAAGTCGTATTCTCTTAGGCGGCTTTCCAGTCCGAGTCATCGGATGTGTATTTACTACTCCACACACGGTCCAAATTTGCGAATATGGACCCACCAGGTGGTTCACACACCCCCAAGCCTTCTTCTGGTCGAGCTAGCGTCTCTAGTGTTGTTCCCAGACACCCAGAAAAAATAGTGGTTGTCATAGCATCATGCTAAACATGATGATCATTTTCCTTTTCATAACGTACGCATCCGTACTCATCATAAGGAGAAATATCCTGATGGCGTGAACATACATATGCGACCCACGACTTACAAACGCACGCGACCGGTGTGCGATTCCACCACTCGTGCAACTAGAAAACGGCAGAAATAGCTCGGGTTGGTATGTTTGATAGTCCTACATTTTTTACCCTTTCATAGCTTATTTTGAAATTTTTGAAAGGATTTATATAATTTTTTATTAATCATTTTAAGTTAAATTAAGATAGGAATTGAAATTATTGAAGGAATTAGGTGAATATTACTAATATGGTGAAGCCCCTCCGCATAGGTTGAAAACAAACTTCGAGGGACAAAGTCAAGCCATATTAAAAAATAAGATAGAATGGTCAACCAAGTAAGTGACTCTACTATTGGTTTGGTTGGAAGAATCGTCTTATATGATGACATATGCCCAATAACCCTACACATATCATATGTGTGATATGTTTGATATGTTCGATGATATGATATGTTTAGTTATATGATATGTAAGATATGTCTGGTAACATTATAGTATAAATGGAATGTCACATTATGCTACAATGAATTATGATATGCTATGAAATGTCATTTGTGACATGATTGTGTTTGGTGATATTATGTTATGACATATTATGATATGTTTTAAGATAAGAATCATATGATTTAAAGTTATGAAATGAATGAGATAATTTTGTAAGATTTTATGTATGCATATTACTAAGTATTGTATATGAGAAAAGAATGGGAGTTGTCTTGCATGATTTAATTACAATGGAAAATGTTGGACCTCATGTATAAATGTATGTTCACATGCATCGAGATACTTCCATTTTATAATGAATATGGACGCATACACTATGAAATGGAAATGATCATCATATTCATGATGCTATGACGGTCATTATTCTGCCTGGGTGTCCAGCAACAGCACCACATACAGTAGCCCGACCAGAAGGCATAGGAGGTGCGCAAGCCTGCATGGTAGGCTCATGCTCGCACGTGTGGGTGGTGTGTAAATAAGTAAATACACATCCAATTTGTCCGGACTGGAAAGCCGCCTAAGAGAAAGACGGTTTTAAATGATAGCTCCCATTCATGTTGCATGTGTTTACATTCCCTGATCTGAATAGAGGGGTCGCTTACTAAGTATTCCAATACTCAAGCCTTGTGTTATACTTATACTTTAGGTAAAGGAAAGGCACCCTTGTACAGTTGATGGTGACGTCGCGTTGAAAACCATGAAACTTGTGTTAAACTAGTTTTATTTAATTTTCATAGATCTTAAGTTAGATTAGGGCATTGTTTTCAATTTTCTCTTTAATGTACTTATGTTTCATATTGAATATTTCGTTGTTTTGTTTTTAAAACTTTTAATACAAACGTATAAGTCCATGACATTATTTTAAAAATGATTTTAAATTAATATTTCCATATAAAAAGGTTACGTCAAACATGTGGCAGAGGTTCTATTTAAGTAGTCGACTGTTTTTAATTTCAATTTAGGGTGAAGTTCCATTGTCCATTGTTATAAATGGATCATAATTTAGAGATATAGTGTTTGTTTAATGTATTTTAAGACTTATTTACATAGTGATTAATTATAACCATAAAATATACATAGGAACTAATTATGATTATAAAACAAAGTCACAACTCTTGGAATGGCTCGTTGAGGGTTTTTATTTTGAGGTTATATAAAATCTATATACAATCATGTATGTTATTTCTACCGAACAAACTTGGAAAATGTAGTAATATAAAATCATGTATGTTATTTCTGTAAAACAGACTTGAAAAGCGTAGTAAAAAAAGCATTTGTACTTTCTTTAGCCAATGACTAAGTTTCTTTTTAATTCTATATAATTAGATTACATATAAAATCATTCAACCTCGACATGATTAATCTTGTTTGTGGAGTGATTCAAATTCTTAAACAAGTGTTCCTTGCCTTGATATATTTGATCACCAAGGTAGTCTGAATTTTACTTTACAGGTAATTTTTTATCATTAAGGTTAAATTTAGATGGCATGTTTAGAATCATTAAAGCTAATGATCATTGTTGCTTGTGGAATAATTTGAATTTCAAACAAATGTTCTTGCCTTGAAATATTCGATCAACAAGTTAATCTGAATCTCACTCCCCTTATCGTGATTTCTTATCAGGTTTGGCTCCTTCGAACTACTCTTGTTAATATCCTTTTATCTTGTTTTTGTTGGTGAGTTTTGTGGCCGAATCTATTTCTATTTCAAAGTTAATAAAGTTGGCATAAGAGCTCTCATTTTTTTTACAAAAATAAAACCTAGAGGATGAATGAATAACTAGGGGTCTAATACCAATCTAAACCGCTTGACAAAAAAAAAAAAAAAAAAAAAAAAATCAAA